ATCTCTAGTTCATCTTATGTGACTAGCAATATGTACATGTTTGAGGCCTTTGGGATTGGAATAAAGATTAAGAAAATGTGTGCTTCCAAGGATGTGATTATAAGTATGATGGCTGAAAACATGAAAAAAAAATTATAAATATTGGGGCAATTCTGATTGACTGAACATGTTATTATTGATTGCTCTTGTGTTGCATCCAAGATATAAGTTAAAATTCATGCATTGGTTGATTAATCAAAGTTTTGATGGTGTTGTGGCATCTAATTTGAAAGACAAAGTGCAATCAAGTATAACATTACTTTTTGAAGAGTATAATGGTGGGAGAATTGAGTTTGAAGCTAACTCATAGGAAGCTCGACTCAATGAAGAAGCAAGTGACAATCCTTATGGCTACAACCAATTTTTCAAATCAACTGGATCTCATAAATATGAATTAAGTAAATACTTAGAGGAAGCCTTAGAAGAAAGTCAAGGAGATTTGGATGTTTTAAATTGGTGGAAGCTAAATTCGGGTCAATTTCCAATTCTTTCAAACATGGCAAGAGATTTACTTGCTATACCTGTGTTCTACTGTGGCCTCTGAATCTTCCTTTAGTACCGGAGGAAGAGCTCTTGATGCATATTGTAGTTATCTTACACCACAAATGGTGGAAACACTTATTTGCACTCAAGATTGGCTTAAAGGGACACTTCCACCATTGTCCTTGAATGAAATAGAGAATTTTGTGGAGCTTGAGAAATTTGAACAAGGTAATAATTTTTTTTAATTGCATTACACTATATTATTTTATTATTTACTTATTATAATATGACTAGCTACTAATTGCATATTTTTCTTTATGTTGTAGATATTGTCCCCTCACAAGATGGTGCTTATTCAGCCTCCTCCATTACACTTGATGATGATTAAAGAAACACTTACATTATAGTTTGCACTTCTATTCGTGTCTGTGCGTCTGTTTGTGTGAGAGATTAACAAGATATTTGTTTTTTATTGCTTCTGTTGTGTTCTATTTCATTAAGCTATCGAATAAAGCATGAAGTACTATTATGGATTCTCGTGCGGTTGGGTTTCTTCTAGATTAGTAGAAGCTGGACAATAAGAAATGTTGTGCACTTTCTAGTTGTATGTTTTATTTAGATGAATGATTCAGTGTTTCTGATCACAACATTTCTTACTTGTATGGTTTATCAGCTTGAACGAGATATTTCATATGTTACTGAAATAGTCATAATTTGAATGTGAGATGCTTCGTGTCAGTCCTTTGAAAGAAAATCTTGTTCCTCTTCCTCATTGTATAGTGCAGATGGAGTTCAGTCTTATGAGCTATCTAAATGTACCAACTGTAGGTTGGGTATGGATCACTAAAGGTGGGCATGTACTGTCTACTCTACTGTTTCTTGTGTTTCCATCACTTCATGTTTTGCTAATAAAGTGTGTATTAAGATGTGGCAATTGGTCATTATCATAGATCTCATAATTGTCAGCTTTGGCTTCATTGAACAGTCTAACATGGATACTTAAATATCATAGGCTATTGCTAGATTCTCTACTAAATTTTATGGTGTGTTGCAATTCAAAGTAAAAGCAAACAGTCAGAATACCATCCTACAAATTCTGTAATGCAAGCCCATGATGGAATTTTCTTTTGTGTGGTCTGCAAGTATCATATCTTATATCCGTTGAAACTTTATCTCTAATTGTGTCCACTGACGAGATAAGCTGTATGATATTAGTTGATGACTTTGGCTTGAATTTCATCATTTCATGCAGGTCTCACAAATTCACCCCCCTCTTGGATTGTGCCGTTCTTTTCTAACAACCTTTCCTCAGAATTTTTCGTTTAAGTTGAGCAAAGATTTCTTTCAAGGGGCGTGCATTGATTTTGTTGACGCTCCTGATGTTGAGCCGGACGAAGTGGCTCCACCTCGGGCGGCCGAGCCTGAAGATCCTAGGGCCATCGTGAACGATGATGAGGAGACCGAACAAACTACTCATGCCGATTGAGGAGCTTCGACGTTTTACTTTTTGGTTGTACATCTGTTTTGAGGAAGATGTATAGATATAGGGTGCCTTTTTGTTTCCTTTAGTTTGTGGTTCGACTATCAGCCACTTTTGATTCTTTTTGGGCCTTTTGAGCCATGTCATTATTGTACCCTTCGGCCATTAGTGCCGCTTAATTAAGTATTTCTTTTCCACCTATTCAGACTTTATTTTGTTCATTGTCATGTTTCTATATATTCGGTGTTGCTTGAGCCCTTGATCAATTAAATTCTTTAAATAATCGAACTGGCTCGGATTTGTATTGATGACTAGGATGTTTCACAAGTATTTTTTTGGCCGAACGGGTGGGATCCCACCTTCTTTCTTGGTAAGTTATCAGTAGTATTTTCCTTTGGTCAAGTGAGGATACTTGGGGTATTGCTATTATGTTTCTGCGTACCCGGAAAAGGCTTGATTGATGGAAGCTAGATGAAGAACGGTTGTTGAATCTCCATAGCTCCACCTTAATTCGACCTTTGCACCTTGAGGTTGATGGATTAGAAGCTTGAAACACCTTTGAAGAACCTTCAATGGTGGAGAAGCAACTTGGATGGTTCAGCCACTTCAAGAAGCTTGAAGAAGCTTGAGGAACCTAGCTCAAAGGTTGAAAACCTTTGGAGAAAAACCTAGAGGAGAAGCTCCACAGTTTTAGGGACTTAAGAGAAGAGAGAATTCTTAGAGAATTTCTGAATTCATTCATCAAAAGTGAAGGTTTAGGTCATATTTACAAATATATAGGGAGAGGTAGCTTTTAGTGTAAGCTAACCTTAACCATGGTTCATTAGGAACCATGGTAAGGTTTAGCCTAACCATCCATGGTTTCTAAAACTTGTAGGAGAAGCTAACCTTGACCATGGTTCACTTAAGAACCATGGTAAGGTCAGCCTAACCTACAAAAGTTTAGAAGCTTGGAAGGCAAGCTTCAAAGCTTGAAGGAGAAGCTTCACAATTTCCGCCAAGAACAAAGAGATGAGCTAGGCGGCCAAGTCTCAAAATGCTCACTTGATTTATTTCAAAAATATTTGATTTGGTTTAGTTAGGTTCATCATATGATGATGAGACCTAGCTAAATCAAATCTATGAAAAATTAGGAGCAAAATGAGTCTAATATGCAAAATGTTTCCTAGGCCCAGTTCTGGCCCAATTGCTAGTCACACCTAGGGATGGCAATGGGGCCCCATGGGGGCGGGTAATAGTAAATTCGCTCCCGCCCCGCTAGATGAAAATTGGCCCCGTAC